AGGCACTCTAGAGTTCTACAGAGATTTTCCTGGAAAACCAGCCACATATGATACAGAAACACAATCCGGCCCATTTCCAAATAGGCCTATATCCTTCTTGATCCTTTTTCCCTTCACCAACATGCCATCCTCGTCCTCAACCCTTCCAAATCCTGCAGCCTCCAGTCTCACTGAGACCTCACTGCCAGTTGCCCTGTGTATAGCGTCCCATTAACAAAGTGCATGATTGTGTCCCTACAACTGGAATTGGGGTCGGCCACAGCACCTCCACACGGAAACCAGGATACATCCTTATACTTGGGAAATGTTCCTGTGTCAGATCGGCCGACCTTAGCGAGATTTAATACAAGCTTCTCACTTTACAAACAAGGACACTGAGACTAAGGGAGAGAAAAGGACTTGCTCAAAGTTACACAGCTAGTTAACAACAATAACTGACATCTGTACTCTGTAGCTTTCCACATTTTGCAAAAGTACATAAGCATGCATTATTTCAGCTGATTCTTACAACCCTTCCATGAAGTGGGTGTTATGTTATTTTATAGATGAGAAAATAGGCTCAAGGGAAGGTAAATGATTTGGCCCAGTTAGAAGGTAGCAAACCCCAATCTCAAACTCTCTCCACCATACCCCTAGGTCCCAGTGTGACTTGGTGACAGCAAATTGAGCCCAGATCTCCTAACTCCTGGGACAACGCCTTATACTCCCTGCCCTTCTGCTCATTCTGTGAAGTCAGGGGGAGTTACTTAGAACCCCCTCATACTCAGTTTCCATCTTAAACAGTGCCTCTCCCCAGGGGAAGACAAAGGGGAAGGAGGTAACAGGGTGGGGGAGCTGAGGGAGCCACATTAACAGGGCCTGGGGTGTGAGGGAGGGATCCCTGAGGAGGCAGTGGGAACAGGAGCAGACAGGCCTGGAGAACGTGATCCAGGATTTAAGCAGGGAGCAGGGGAGCTGGGCACCTCAGAACGAGCTAGTAACATACAAGGGTGAGCTGTTGTAGTTCAAATTAACAAAAAGATTAAGAACCCAAAACAACCAACCCAAAAGGCTCCTCTTGTTAACCCACCCTGAAAGTCTTCATCTCAGGGGCTCCTACATCTGTTCTCTGGGCAGGCACCCCTCCCCTCCCCCAGCACCTCTGTCAGAATTGGAAAAACTGCTGAGACAGCAGCTCAACAGAGGGGCTGAGGGAGGAACTTTCCAGCCTGTCTGCCCGCCTGCCTGCCTGCTGGCCAGTGCGTTAGGGCCTCCCCCACCCATGGCCTTGACCAATTAGGATGTTGGTGTAGATGCAGCTGGGGAAGAAGTGTGTGTTGGTGCCGTCTGGGGGAGAGGGAGGCTGTAGCATTCCTACCAGGAAAAGATAAGATAAAGGAATCCTGGGGAAGAAGGAGACCTTG